GGGATGGCCCCCTGCCTCGTTCAGCAGCACGTCCACGACCCAGAGTTCCAGCCATGCTCGTTGAGACTCGAGGCTCGTGATGAAGCTTGAGTTGGCCCAGCACGGGCGTCTGGGCCACCCACAGCTGTCCACCCTCCAGTGCTCGGTGGTCCCCAGCCCATGGCGCACCTTGTCCTGTGCAAGATCTTCGGCACCGCCTGTTTTCTGAGCCCTTCGGCCGCCTGAGGCCCCGCCCGCCCGCGCCCTGTCTCCCTAATTAGGGCTACCCGCGTCCCGTTTGGCTCTTGACCGGAAGGGGCCCGCTCCCGACCCGCAGACCAAACAAGTGCTCGGTGGTCCCCGCTCGAAGACTCACAGTTGTTCCGTGTTCTGTCGTCGCTGCTGCGAGTCTCCGGAGCTCCCGCGGGAGCCCGTCCAGGCCCGGAGGAGTCGGGCCGCGGAGGTCCGAGCACGCGCCACCGACCTCTGCCCCCCCTCCTTGTCGGAGGTGGACAGACCTCCTACCCTGACACGTCGATTGAAGAATTGGCCGTGTTCGGTTCGCGAGAGGGCGTCGCGGCCGTCATTTTTGCCGGTCCAGGTCCGTCGGTTTCGGTCCCAGGCAGTTGTCACTAGACCTTTCCCCACTGATGCGCTTGCCTCAAGTGCGCTGCTGGCTCCTCCCTCCCTCCTGTGCCCGGCCCCCACCGGATCCCAGTTCGGAGTCGGCCGAGTTCTGCAGGCAGAAGCTGTGGCCCCCTCCGCTGCCTGCTCTGAAAGGGCGCGCCCGCACCGCCGGGAAGGAATAGGGAAAGGGGGGCCCCAGCTTCAAGCTACCCCCTCCCCCTCCCTTCCAAAAGGGGGGGGAGCTTCCGAAGCTACCCCCCCCTCCCTTCTGTAAGGGATTCTAAGCTAGGGGGGCCCTGGCTAAAAGGGGGGGCTTCGAAGCTATCCCCCCTTCCCTCCCTTTTCTGGAGCAGAAGGGATGGCGGGGCTTCGGAAGCTACCCGGAAGCTACCCCCCCCTCCTTCCTTGCTTGGTCTGTATACAGGGGGGGGCCGGCTTCGAGCCAACCCATTCCGCCCTCCTTTGCAAAGGGGGGGGGGCTTCTGAAGCTCTCCCTCCCCCCCTCCTTTCCAGGGTTCTAGCAAAATGGCTGAATATCTGCAGACAGGTGCGAACAGCAGCGCTAAAGAACGCATTGGAGAATAATGTCGACCCCTGGTTCGTTGTTTTGGTTTCTTGTTTTCTTTGCCCCTGGTTCTTAGTCTCGTTTTCTCGGGCTCTGATTCCTTTTTGTCCTTTTCTCGTTTTCTCGGCCCCTGGTTCGTTCTCTCGTTTTCTCGTGTTTTCGGCCCCTGGGTCACGGTCTTGTTTTCTCTGACCCTGGTTCGTGTATTCGTTTTTTCGTTTTCTCGGCCCATGGGCCGTGGTGTTGTTTTTGTCGGACCCTGCTTCGTTTTCTCGTTTTTTTGTTGTTGTTTTCTCGGCCCCTGGGTCGTGGTTTTGTTTTCTCGGACGCTGGTTAGTATTCTCGTTTTCTCGTTGTCTCGGCCCCCGGGTGGTGGTTTCGTTTTCTCTGATCCTGCTTCGTTTTCTCGTTACCTCGTTTTCTCGGCTCCTGGGTCGTTGCCTCGTTTTCTCGAACCAAGCGTTGTCTGGTGATCTCGGCCCTTGGGTCGTGGTTTCGTCGGACCCTGGTTCGTTTTCTCGTTTTCTCGTGTTCTCGGCCACTGGGTCGTGGGTCGTTTTCGCGTTTTCTCGTTTCCGCTGCCCCTGGACCGTGGTCTCGTTTTCTCGGACCGTGCTTCGTTTTCTCGTTTTCTTGTTTTCTCGGCCCCTGGTTCGTAGTCTCGTTTTCTCGGGCCCGGACTCCTTTCATCGTTTTCTAATGTTCTCGGCCCCTGAGTCGTGGTCGTGTGTTCTCACACCCTTGTTCGTTTTCGCGTTTTCTGTGCCCTTGGGTCGTGCTTTCGTTTGGTCGAACTTTGGTTCGTTGTCTTGTTTTCTGGTCTTCTCGGCCCCTGGGTCGTGGTCTCGTTTTCTTGGACAATGGTTAGTTTTCTCGTTTTCTCGGCTTCTGGGTTTTTGTGTCTCGTTTTCTCGGGCCCTGGTTCGTGGTCTCGTTCTTTGTTTTCTTCGCCCCTGGGTCGTGGTTTCATTTGTCCTCGGACCCTGGTTCGTTTTCTCGTTTTCTCGTTTTCTCGGCCCCTTGGTCGCGGTCTCGTTTTCTCTGACCCTGGTTCGTTTCTTGTCTTCTCGGCCCGTGGATCGTGGTTCCGTTTTCTCGGACCCTGGATTGTGGTTGTGTTTTCTCTGTCCCTGGCTCGTTTTTTCGTTTTCGTGTTTTCTCGGCCCCTGGGTCATGGTCTCGTTTGCTCGGGCCTTGGTTTGTTGTTCCGTTTTCTCGTGTTCTCGGTCCCTGGGTCGTTATCTCGTTTTCTCGGACCCTGGTTCGTTTCACATTTTCTGGTCTTCTCGGCCCCTCGGTCGTGGTGTCGGTTTCTCGGGCCCTGGTTCGTTCTCGTTTTCTCGGCCCCTAGGTTTTTATCTCGTTTATTGTGGCGCTGAATCGTTGTCTTGTTTTCTTGTTTTCTCGGCCCCTGGGTCGTGGTCTCGTTTTCTCAGACCCTGATTCGTGTTCTTGTTTTCTTGTTTTATCGTCCCCTGTGTCGTGGTCTAGTTCTCTCGGACCTCTGGTTCGTTTTCTCGTTTTCTTATCTTCTCGGCCCCTGGATCGTGGTCCGGTTTTCTCGGACCCTGTTATGTTTTCTCGTTGTCGATTTTTCTCTGCCCTTTGGTCGTGGTCTCGTTTTCTCAGACCCTGATTCGTGTTCTTGTTTTCTTGTTTTATCGTCCCCTGTGTCGTGGTCTAGTTCTCTCGGACCTCTGGTTCGTTTTCTCGTTTTCTTATCTTCTCGGCCCCTGGATCGTGGTCCGGTTTTCTCGGACCCTGTTATGTTTTCTCGTTGTCGATTTTTCTCTGCCCTTTGGTCGTGGTCTCGTTTTCTCGGACCCCGTTTCGTTTTGTCGTTTTCTGGGCCCCTGGGTCGTGGGCTCGTTTTCTCGGGCCATGGTTTGTTTTCTCGTTTTCTCATGTTCTCGGCCCGTGGATCGTGGTTCCGTTTTCTCGGACAATGGTTAGTTTTTTCGTTTTCTCGTTTTCTCTGCCTTTGGGTCATGGTTTTGTTTTCGCTGACCCGAGTTAGTTTTCTCGTTTTCTCTGCCCCTGGGTCGTTAGCTCGTTTTCTCGGACCCTGGTTCGTTTCTCGTTTTCTCGTGTTCTCGGCCCCTGGGTCGTGGTGTCGGTTTCTCGGGCCCCAGTTCGTATTCTCGTTATCTCGACCCTTCGGTTTTTGTCTCGTTTTCTCGGGCGGTTCGTTGTTCTGTTTTCTTGTTTTCTCGGCCCCTGGGTCGTGGTCTCGTTTTCTCAGATCCTGTTTCGTGTTCTTGTTTTCTTGTCTTATTGTCCCCTGGGTCGTGGTCTTGTTTCCTCGGGCTGGTATTCGCGTTTTCCCGGCCTGGGTCGTGGTCTTGTTTGCTCGGACCGTGGCTTGTTTCCTCGTTTTCTCGTGTTCTAGGCCCCTGGGTCGTTATCTCGTTTCCTCGGACCCTGATTCATTGTCTCGTTTTCTCGTTTTCTCGGCTTCTGGGTGTTTGTTTCCGTTTCTCGGGCCTTGGTTCGTTTCGTCGTTGTCTCGTTTTCTCGGCCCTTGGGTCGTGTTCTCGCTTTCTCGGGCTCTGGTTCGTTTTCTCGTTGTCTCGTTTTCGCGGCCCCGCGGTCGTGGTTTCGGTATCTCGGGCGCTGGTTTGTTTTTCTCGTTGTCTCGTTTTTTCGGCCCCTGGGTCGTGGTCTCGTTTTCTCTGACCCTGGTGCGTTTTCTCGTGTTCTCGGCCCCTGGGTCGTGGTCTCGTTTTCTCGGACCCTGATTTGTTTTTTTTTCGGACCCTGGTTCGTTTTTTCCGTTGTCTTGTTTTCTCGGCCCTTGCTCCGTGGTTTCGTTTTCACGGACCTTGCTTCTCTTCCTCGTTTTCTCAGCCCGTGGGTCGTGGTCTCGTTTTCTCCGACCCTGGGTCGTTGTCGTCGTCGGTCGTTGGTCGTTCGTCGTCCGTCGTCCGTCGCCGTCTTCGTATGACCTCGTCCTCGTCGTGACGACCACGACCAGGTCATACGAAGACGGCGACAATGACGGCGACGACGACGACGACGACGACGGCGTCGTACGAGCACGTCGAGCGACGGCGACGGCAACGACGACGGCGACGGGGGAGGATCGTCCGGCAGGGGGAGTTCAAGGGAGGGGAGTGGTAGCTAAGCCGCCCCTCCCCCCTTGGAAAGGGGGGGAGCTCCTCCTCCTCCTCCTCCTCCTCCTCCTCCTCCTCCTCCTCCTCCTCCTCCTCCTCCCTCCTCCTCCTCCTCCTCCTCCTCCTCCTCCTCCTCCTCCTCCTCCTCCTCCTCCTCCTCCTCCTCCTCCTCCTCCCCATCCTCCTCCTCCTCCTCCTCCTCCTCCTCCTCCTCCTCCTCCTCCTCCTCCTCCTCCATCGCGGTCCCCGACAGCCGCGCGCCCAGGGCACCTCCTTCCTTTTTGGGCACCCCTGCGTGCAGCCAATCCTACCCCCCCTCGTCTCCTCGCCTCCTGGTCCAGCGCGTAGCCAATCCTACCCCCACTCGTCTCCTCGCCTCCGCCCCCTTGGCGGCGCAGAGGTTGGGCCGCCTTCTTAAGAAGGCGGGGGGCAGGCCTCCATGAAGCCAGGGGGGGCTTCTTCGAGCCCTGCCAGCTCGAAGATTAAGTCGGGTGTGTCCCTCAACAGGAAGGATATTCAAAATCGGCCCAAAAATCGTACGGGGATGAGTTTCGCTATATCTGAGTATTGTCGAGCATGTTTGGAGTATTTCCAATTCTTCATATAAAACCGGCTGTTGGAGGACATGCCCGGCCTAACTCTAAGAAGGCCTGTCAGAAGCTTCCGGGCTCCTTTCTAAAAAGGTCTTCTCCTTCGGAGAAATCTGTGCGCCGCCGATGTTCAGCTGCAAGGTTCCTGGCCAGGGCTTACTCCGGGCCTGAGCGAGTGGAAGTCTCGTCCGATCCCCCAGGGGCAGGGGAAGCGGTGCTTGGGGCAGACGGGGCGCGACGGGAAGATGTTCTTCGACCCCATCGTGCATTTTGATGCGATCGATCCATTTTGATGCCGATTTCGCCCGGTTCGATCCGATTCGATACCCGCATCCTTGCGATCCGATGCGGCCAGGTGTTTGCATGGCGCTCGTGTGCATCCTAGCGCAGCCAATCCTTACCAGCCTCGAACGTATCCCTATCCCTAAGACTGACACGCCAAAAAGCGATGACAATCCTAGGGATGCGCCTTCAAAACGTGAGGGAGCTCCTAAGACGAGCATCGTGATGAGGAGATGCCCAGCATTGGGATAGGGATGTGTTCCAGGCTGGTAAAGTACGCCTCGAGTGTGGCCCCGTGCTGATGCAGCCCGATCCAGCACACACCTCGATCCGACCCGAGGTCCCGGTTCGGTGCCGATTGATCGTGCCCCTCGGGGGCGCCCGCCCCGTCGGCCCCGCGCGCGCTTTGCCGCCCGCGGGGGGCGCCGCCGTCCGCCCTGCCCCTGGGGGCCGCCCGCAGGTTGGCGCCACCGCGCCGCTGGGGTTCTTCGACCCGCTGGGCTTCTGCCCGCTTGGGGTGGGGGAGGGGTGTTATTGAGGGGGAAGGGGCACCCATCTCGCTACCCTTTTCTCGTCTTTTCCTTCTCGGGCCTCCTGGGAGGCCCTCGTCGCCGCCGCCGGATCCGCCTTTGAAAGTCTCGTCGGAATGCACCCCAGAAGAGGTCCGGGGAGTGGCGGCACCAGTCCCTTTTGGTCTCCCCAGGGTGGTTTGGGCGGCGCTCCCCACGTCGAGGAGCTGCAAACCTGCATGAAGGCACCGCGGATTAGCAGTGCGCCCAATTATTCGGGGTTGGACAGACCTCCTACCCTGACACGTCGATTAAGGAATTGGCCGTTTTCGGTTCGCGAGGGGGCGTCGCGGCCGTCATTTTTGCGGGTCCAGGTCCGTCGGTTTCGGTCCCAGGCGCTTTTCACTAAGGGGAGGTTTACTAAAGGGAGGTTTGTCCACCGCCGAATTATTTTGGTGCAGCATGAGGGCGCTCCGCCGCCAGGTCGGGCGGCACTGGCCACTTGGCCTCGTGCTTCGGGGGGCGCCGTCCCCGATGCATGGATCTGGCGCTCGCTCGCCAGGTCCACGGCTCAAGCGTCAGATCTCGGCGCGAACGAAATGCGTACGGAAAGAATAGTCGGGGGTGGACAGAACCCCCAACAGTGACACGCCGATTAGTGAATTGTCCGTTTTCGGTTGTCGAGAGGGCGCCGCGGCCGTTATTTTCCAGGCTTGCGCCCGCCAGGTTTGGGCCTCAGGTCGTTTTCACTAAACCACGTTGTACTAAAGGGGGGTCTGTCCATCCCCGAAATAGGTGCAGTGCCCAGCAGCAGTTCCTGCTCACTCTGAACAGGAGTCGCTGTCCGTGCCGCCGCGGCCCGTGTCCATTCGAGACAGAAGGCCGCCTGCCCAGCAGCGGCCGCTGTTGGTTTGGGACAGCATTGGTTGTTGGGCATTGGACCCGTTTTTTTTCTGACACATTTCGGGCGTCCAACAGATCCACGGTTCCCTCCATGTTGTCGTTTGCCCGACCGTGGGGAGTGGGATTCGAAGAGCCATGGCGAAGATAAACGCAGCTCTGTGCAATGTTTTGTTTTAGTTGATTCTGCTGTTCGTTCTGTGTTTGATCTGCTCCCCGTGTTTCGCTCCCCGCTTCGTTCTGAGTGCTCGTGTTGGACCGTGGGGCCCGCTCGTCACTGCTTTCGTTCTTCTTTTCGGCCGCAATTCCATTCTATGAGCGACGGCCTGCTGGGTTCCTCGGTGGTGTGCAGGAGGAGGGCGCAATTGAAGATCGAGGACCAGAGGCGCAAGCGAATCCTGGGCTGGTGCAGGGAGAGCCTCCCACTGCCCCTGGCGGCGCCTCGGGTGCCTTCCCGCGCGCGCATAGGAAACGTGTACATACATTTTTTCATGGGGCGGCCCACAGCACGTTCACGCCGTGCTGACGTTGGCGTTGGCTTCTGACGTCGCGTGGAGCAGGGGTCGGCCACGCGCAGAGGGGTCTACGGGGAGGTGGGGAAGGCTTCTTAGACGGCGCGGGCCTTATCTGTAGGTGTATGACCAGCGCCTTCGAAGAAGCCTCCCCGCCCTACCCTCTTGTGCGAGCCGCCAAGAGCAGGGTGTCTGGCGCGGACCTGAGGAAAATAAGGATGTCTGTAGTGTTGTTTGAGTCGCAGGGAGCCAGACGATCAACATCAAATAAACCAATGGTCAGCAAGGGTAAGAGGCAACCTTGCCAACGTTGGCCAGCACGGAGTTGGTGCACGAGGTGTGGGTAACTACGCAGCTGGCACGAGGGTAAACCTCAATGCACCCTTGGGGGGGTTGCCCGCATGTATGGCGGCGCAGCCCGCGCGCGTTCGCGCCACCCAGTCCAGCACGGCCCCCACGCGTTTCGTGGCCTTGCAAGGAGCGCCACCGAAGTCGGTGCTCGCAGCTGCAGCGCCCGCAACTGCATACAGTCCTTATCCAGGCGATCGCAAACATGGATCAAGGGGGCGTGGATCAGCGACGGGTCCCGTTTCCATGGGAAATCGAGCAGTTCCGCCGCCGTACGAGGCGGCACCGGCCGCATTTTGGGGAGGGCGCCTCCCCCGATCCATGGATTTGGCGACCGCGCGCCAAATCCATGGATCGCTATTCCATGTTTGCGCGCCCCCGAATCTGGTTGGGTCCTTATCCAGGCGAATTGTCAGCTTTTTGCGTTGTGGAGACATGTTGGCTTTTAGCTGTTGTGTTCCCCGCCAGCGGATGTCTTCCTTTCGGGCAGATGTGGGCCTGGGATTTCGGCGAAGGGGCTCGTGCCTTCGCCCACGTTTTCGTTGTTGTCTGGTTCGACTGGTAAGAACACGAGGGTGCCTCAGCCTCCGTACGTCTGCGCGTTGAAGTGGCGCTCCATGTGCAGTCTTCTCCTCCTCCTCCTCCTCCTCCTCCTTCTCATCCTCCTCCCTCCTTTTCGCGTGAAGGTGTTTGGTTCTCCGAGGACGGGAGGGGGGAATAGGAGCGAGGTTGGGATGGACAGGAAGGGGTGCGCTTGCCCGCCGCTCCGGTGCCGCCTCTGGACCGCATCCGAATACTATCCATCCGTAAATGCTGGTGCAGACCGAGGAATGGTGAGGAGGACAAGGAGCACAACGATCTTCCTCGTCGTCGTCCCCGCATGTCGTCGTCTTCGCTGTCGTCCTTCTCGTCGTCGTCGTCGTCGCCGCCGCCCTCCAAAAACCCTTGGACCTACGGTCACCTGGCGAATTGGTGGCTAGCGCCAGGCACGGCGTTTACTTGTGGCTGCCGCGGCGGCAGAGCGAGGCGGTTGCGACGGCGGTGGCGACGATGCCAGGAGGTTGACGGTGATGGTGATACTGCTCACGAGGATTCTGCTGGCGATGGCGGTGGCGATGGGAATGGCGACGTTGGCGAAAACGAGAAGGGGTAGAAGCAGGAGGAGGAGGAGGAGCAAAAGGAGCAGGATGATTATGATGCTGATGATGATGCTGATGATGATGATGCTGATGATGCTGATGATGCTGATCATGATGATGAGGCTGCTGCTGATGATGCGGATGCAGATGATGATGATGATGATGATGATGATGATGATGATGATGATGACGACGATGGTGATACATATGCTGATGCTGATGATAATGATGCTTGTGCTGCTGATGATGGCGACGATGACGACCATGCTTATGATGACGATGCTGATGCTGATACTCATGATGCTGATGCTGATACTGATGACGATGATCAGGATGCTTGTGCTACTGATGATGGCGACAATGATGATCATGCTTATGATGATGCAGATGCTGATGTTCATGATGAAGATGAACACCATGATGATGATTAGGATGATGATATGATGCTGATGATTACTATGATCATGATGGTGGTGGTGATGATAATACTGAGGATGTTGATGCTGCTGCTGCTGATGATGATGATGATGAGGCTGATGATAGTGACGATGTTGCTGCTGCGGCTGCTGCTGCTGATGATGCTGATGATGATGCTGATGATGATGATGATGCTGATGATGATGATGATGATGATGATGATGATGATGATGATGATGATGATGATGATGATGATGATGATGATGATGATGATGATGATGATGATGATGATACTGACGAGGAGGAGGAGGAGGAGGAGGAGGAGAAGCAGAGGAGGATGAGGAGGAGGAGGAGACGGGGGAGGAGGATCGATCTAGTGATCGCAGTCCGCGCAGCCCAAATTAGGAGCAGAAGCTCCCCCCCGCTAAGCATCAATTATCTTCCCCCCCCTCTCTCCCCAGCCCTTCCCCCCGCCCCCTCCCAAGATTTCCCAGCCACCCTTTCTCCTTCCTGGCGATGCTTGACCGAGGAGAGCGCTGCCGAGGCCCGACGTCGCCGCCACTAGCGAAGGGCGCCTTTGGGCGGCGAAGGGTCTGGCATCCCGAGGATGCGCCGCGCGCAGGCGCGTGCCAGCTGGCCCTTCTCGGGCTTCTTGGACGAAGGGGCGGCGGGCGGTCGAAACCGCGTGGGGGGGACCCCTGAGATGCACGGGGGGGCGGGTTCGGGCCGGAGGGGGCGGAGGCGAGGGGGGAGGGTTCGAACGGGGGGGGAGATCGCAAGGGAGTAAATCGCAAGGGAGTAAATCGCAAGGGAGAAAATCGGAAGTGCTTGGATCGCAAGGGTCCTTGGATCGCGAGGGAGTAAATCGGAAGTGAAGCGGGGGGCGGTCGAGCCGGGCGCGCTTTTTCCCCCCTCTCCCCAGCGGGGGGGATCGAGCCAGGGGGGGCCCCCCCGCTCTGTCCAACGGAGTGGTGCGAACCGGCGACGGCAAGCGCCGGCACTGGCTTTGGCGCCGTCGGGCAGCGACGACGACGACGACGACGAAGATGACGACGACGACGACGACGACGACGACGACGACGACGACGACGACGACGACTTTTGTGCTGACGGGCAGCGGCGACGATGACGCCGACGCCGACGCCGACGCCGACGCCGACGACGACGACGACGACGACGACGACGGCCGCGGCGGCAGCGACGGCGATGGCGACGGCGACGGCGACGGCGAAGGCGTCGGCGACGGCGGCGACGGCGGAGGCGGCGGCGACGGCGACGGCGACGGCGACGACCACCATGACGCGCACGGGCCACCCCGCAGGCGCTGGCGCCGTCGGGCAGCTAAGACGATGTTGACGAAGACGACGACGGCCAAGGCCAAGGCCAAAACCAAGGCCAAGGCCAAGGCAAAGGCAAAGGCAAAGGCAAAGACAAAGGGAAAGACAAAGGCAAAGTCGAAGGCAAAGGCGACGACAAAGGCGACGGCAAAGGCAATGGCGGCGGCGACCAGCGAGGGCGACGGCGACGGCGACCGGCGACGACGACGACGACGGCGCGTGCAGGGGGCGAGAGGTTGCCCCCCTTGCAACGGCCCCCTTCCTGCTGCGACCCCCCCCCCCTGCTAGTCAGGGGGGGCGCCCTAGCTCGAACCCCCCTCCCTCCCCTCCTGGACATGGGGAGCGGGGCGCCTCCCCGCTTCGAGCCCCTTTTTTTATGGATGGGGGGAGGGTCCTGTTGGGGAGGCCAGTGTCCAGGGAGGGGGGGGCTCCAGGTTTTCCAGGGGCGCTCAATGTCTTGGGGGGAGGGTTCCCCCCCCCTGGTTCCAATCTGGGGCTCCTTAGTGGGATCCAAGTAGATGGGGTCGGAGGGTCGCGCCGCATCGCCGATGCATCGAAAACGCAGCTCGATGTGGAAGCCCTTTCTCTCCACGCCCACGGCACAGATGCGTCGCAGACGTCGCTGATGCATCGCCGGTGCGCCAGTGATGTATCGTCGATGCATTGGAGATGCGGTGCGACCCTCCGACCCCATCCACTCGGACACCAGTCAGGCGGCCTCTATCCAACGCGTGAGGGTGTTTTCCTGGCGCGCGCCCTCGAAACGCGTTGGGTCTTGCGTTTGCGCAGCTTCTTCCAACTAGTACGGTCACGTGCTGAGTCCGTCGCCGCCGCCCTCCCCCTTCCCCCCCCTTCTGCGCAGGGCCTGCCCTCGCTATCACCCCCCACGTGCAGGCTGCGAGCCTGGGGCCTTGCCAGGCAGAGGGCGCCTCCCCTCGGCTCGATTCCCCAGTGGCCCCGAGGGGACGGTTTGATGGCGGCCCGTCCGCTGGAGACGCTGATATTCAGTCATTGGACTCCCCCCTGAGAGAATATATACGCTCAAGAGCATGAACGTTCGGAGGCCCGGGCGGACCTCCCGATTCCGAGTGTGCACGATTATGCTGTTTCATCTTCTTCGGCCCATGTTCCGCCGCCGCCGTCCTCCTCCTCCTCCTCCTCCTCCTCCTCCTCCTCCTCCCCTCTCCCCACCCTCCCCTCCCCCCTCTCCTTCTCCTCGCTGCCCTGCCCGCGCCGGCCTGGGCAGGATGAGGCCAACTTCCGCGCCCTGAGGTTCAAGGAGCTGAAGCACGGCCGCGTGGCGATGCTGGCGAGCCTGGGCGGCGTCTTCGAGCACTACGGCAGGAACCGCGGGGCGGGGAGGAGGCGACTTCCCACTCGAGCCGTTTCCTCGTCGTCGTCGTCGTCGTCGTCGTCGTCGTCGTCCTCCGCCTCCTCCTCCTCCTCCTCTTCCTCCAGCTATCGGACCATGTTTTCCCCGAATCGGTTTGGAAAGCCTTCGGGAACACGTGGGCATCTTGAAGATCCTCTTGGCCGTCTGGAGGCCCTTTTGACCCTTTCGGGCCTTCTTGGAAGACGTCTTGGAGGGCTCTTGGGCCGTCTTCGAGGCCATCTTGAGCGTCTTGGAGGCCTCTTGGGCCGTCTTGGGGGCCTCTTGGGGCTGTCTTGGGCCTCTTGGGCGATCTTTGGGGGCTCTTGGGCTGCCTCGGGCCGTTGGAAGGCAGAACGAAAACAAATGCCGCAATCCTTCAACATCTCATGGGCAACCAACGATTTTGGCAGTTTCGAGCCTTCCTGGAGGCCCTCTTTGAGACCTTTTGGGCCGTCTTGGGCCATCTTAGGGCCATCTTCGGCCGTCTTGGTGGGCTCCTGGCCCGTCTGACGCCGTCGGAAGCCGTTTAGGGGGGCCCCTCTGGGCCGACTTGGGGCCCTTTTGGGGTGCTTTTTGGGGTGCTCCAGGGCCGTCTTGGAGGCCATCTTGGGCGTCTTAACGGCCTCCTGGGGGCCTCTTGGGGCCGTCTTGGGGGCCTCTTGGGCCGTTTTGGGGCAATATTGGAGGCCTCTTGGGCGATCTTTGGGCGATCTTTGGGGGCTCTTGGGCAGTCTCGGTCCGTCGGAAGGCCGAAAAGGAGCAAATGCCACAATCCTTCAAAAACCTTAGGACAATCAATGCTTTGGGCCT